GTCAGAGGGGCCCGCGTTGGGCCGGCGGCAGCTGTGCCGGCAGCCAGCTCCGAAGTGTCCTGGGGGGCATTCTGCAGGGGCAGGGACAAAGGTGAGGATCCCACCTCCTGGGTCAGGGCTATGTCCCCAGGACCCAAGAGACCCAGCCCCCTGCTTCCTGCACCCCAGATGTTGGTCCCTCAAAGGAGAGGTGCCACCACACCATGGGACACTGCCCTCTGACCTGGAGCCTTCCCATGCCAGCAGGCAGGACCGTGCCAGGCATGCAGGGGGTCCCCCCGCCCCTGCCACCAGGGCTCACCGTTCTCACAGGCCAGGCCGGCCCAGCCCTCAGGGCAAGTGCAGTGGCCTGAAACAGGATCACATGTCCCTCCATGCTGACAGAGGCAGGAATGTCTACAGTTCTCACCATACAGGCCGGCAGGGCAGGCTGGGGGCCGGGGAGGAAGGGAACAACCTGCTGCATCCAGCCAGCCTCAGGAAGTACAGGCTTTCCAGCCACCCCCAGACCTTGCCTAGGACCCGTGGCAGGTCCACCCTAAGCCTAAACCTACCCAGACCCACCATCTTGGCCTTGGCAGGGGGGCAAGGGAGGGCACTGGAGGGTGTGGCCCTGGGTGTTAAGTGCCCCCTTCCTCCTGCCCCAGGTGCCGGGTGCCCCAGCCCTCCCTGTCTGCTACTCTAGGCCAGCCTATGTCCACCCCAACATCCCATGCCCACGTGATCCCACAAGGCCCAGCAAGAGACAAGTGCCTCTTCCAGGCCCTAAGTCCCTGGACTCCTGCTGGAGCTTACCCTGTAGGCAGGTGGGTCCTGTCCAGCCAGGGGCACAGTGGCACTGCCCGTGGACAGGGTCACAGGAGGCCCCATTAAAGCAGGTGCAGGCTTGGCTGCAGTTGTGCCCATAGGTGAGGGCTGGGCAGGCTGCAGGTGAGAGGGGAAGTCAGTTCCGAAGGCACCTCAGGAGGGGCTAGGGCAGATCTCAGGAAGTTGGACGGGTCTGCCAGGGTTCTGGGACCACTACAGTCAGTCCTCTCTTTTCTGGGCAGAGCAGCCACACCAAAGGACTAACAAGGCTAAGCAACATTCTCAAGGTGGCTGCCTGGCAGCTTTGGAAACCCAGGGAAGTCCCCAGGAGCGAGTCTGCCAGAGGATCTGGTGACCGCTGGTGCTGCAGTACCCAGGGCAAAGTGGAGGTCTCACACACCCCGGGTGCAGCGGGGGCCCTGGCGGCCTGCCGGGCAGATGCAGGAGCCGCTCACAGCATCACAGGTGGCTCCAGCTGAGCAGTTGCAGGCGTTGCGGCAGTCCAACCCAAAGAAGCCGGCCGGGCAGGCTGTAGGTAGAGGAGGCAGTGGTGGGGAGGGGCCTGAGACTGCCCTGCTCTTTAGACCCCATGCCCACACCCAGCCTGCACCCCAGCTCACCATGCTCACAGAAGGTTCCCCTCCAGCCAGCTGGGCAGGTGCAGGCCCCACTGACATGGTCACAGGCTGCTCCATGCTCACACCGGCATCGTCGCTCACAACTGGGCCCGTACTGGCCCTGGAGACAACCTGAGACATGTGCCCCCATCAACCAGGAGCCAAGAATCTGACCCATCCCCCATCCAGGCCTTGCCACCATCCCCAGCTGGGGCCTGGGACCACAATGGGGCTGGGCTCACTGACATGCCACCCAGCTGGTGGGAAAGGTCCGTGGGAGCCCCAGGCAGCACCCTAGGGGTGGGAGGAGATGCCTCTAACACAATCTGTTCCAGGCCCCCACCAGGCCCTGCAGCCTCGAGGACCACACAATGAAGGGCATCTTGGTCCCACACGACCTCCTCCTGCCCCACGTGCCACATGCCCCATGGGCGTGGTACATGCCCTCCCTACCCATTGCTCCAGGTAAGCCTATATCTGGTACAGATAGGTGAGAGGGTGGGGAGGAATCTGGGCAAGCTAGAATGGGATAGGAAGGCAGCACCAGGGTCACATATGTGCTCAGGCATGTGCAAGCATGTGCACTCATGTGTGCACACACACGAGGCAGGGCCCAGGGCTGGCCAGGACTCACGCTGCTCGCACTGTGGGCCCACGTAGCCAGCCTCACACAGGCACAGACCGCTGACAGGGTCACAGCTCCCATGGCCTGCACTGCAGTTGCAGGGGTGGCTGCAGTCAGGACCCCAGTGCCCGCTGTCACATGCTGCAACAGAGCCCAGGACTGTCCTTCATAGATCTCGGTGGAGCCCGCAGGCACCACAACCAGGGCGGGGCATGGCGGCATCTGAGGATGGGGTGGGGTCTCCCGCTGGTTCCCAGTTCTCCCAGGTTTCCCCAGGGGAGAGGAAGGGACAAGTGACAAAGAACAGGCCAAGGGCCCCTTGTACCTCTCTGGCAGCTGAGGCCAGTCCAACCAGGGGCACAGCTGCAGCGTCCAGTGACCGGGTGGCAGTGCCCATCATTGGCACAAGAGCATCTCATCTGGCAGCCAGACCCAAACCAGCCTGCTGGGCATGCTGCAGGCCCAGAGAGAGGGTAAATGCAGGGTCTGCTGCCCACCCTGGGCCGTAGGCTGGGGGTGGCAGAGGTCAGGGCTGGAGCCACACTCACTGTCCTGGCAGCGGCTGGCCGGGGAGTCCGGTCTCGGGACTACAGCTGGCACCGTGCTCACACGCGGGGCAGATCTCCTGGCAGCCGAGCCCCCAGCGGCCCTCGGGACAATCTAGTACCATCACGGCCAGTCAGTCTCCCTTTGCTGCCCTTGCCGGGCACTTGGGTAAATGTGCCAGGTGCAGCCCCAATTCCCTGCCCCCAAAACCCAGGAGGGGGCCCCAATGTTCCAATCTAAGTCTGCCCGGGTAGAGGGGACAGACATGGAGTCATCAGGAGCCCCAGGGCCACTTTCTGGGGTTGCAAGGCAAACACTCACAGAGCAGTGACTCAGCCAGTGACAGTTCAACAGGCAAAATGGTGGTTTCCCTGGAGAGGCTAGGAGACCCCTTCACAGTGAGCAAGCAGCCCAGGAGGGCAACCACAGGCCGCGCGGGATCACGGGGCAGCCACTGAACCTAACTGAGCTCTCACTGCTGTACATGGGCCTGAGGTCTAGATGGCTGGGGCCAAGGGTCCCCACAACCCAGGCTGGCGTCCCTTAATACAGCCTGGGGCTGGCCTCTCCTAGAGCCAAGCAGCCTGCTGCCACTCACCTGCCCCACAGTCTTCCCCAGTCCGCCCTGGTGGACACAGGCACTGACCCGTGACTCGGTGGCAGGGGGCCCCCTGACAGGAGCAGGAGCCTGAGCAGTTCACACCAAATGTCCCTGCTGGACACTCTGCAGGAGGAAGCAGGAAGAGAATTAGCTCCCCAGCCTGGGGGCCTTTCTGCCAGTTTCAGGCTCCTGGTCAGAGTGTCCCCTGGACCTGGGCATCTGCTCCAGGCCCAGTGATAGCTGTTGAATTCATCTGGGGTCCCCAAAGTGATGAGGACAGGTCACAGAAGTGAGAAAGGGAGGCGGTGAGGTGTAACCACTCAGACACATTTGGGCAGGGGCAGCACCGGGTGGGGGACGAATCCCTGGATGTCCAGGACCCTGGAGAGCTCCTGGGAGCAGGGAACTGGCAGCTCTTTGCCCTCCCTCCCCAACCTTGGTATCCCCCCACCCCCACCCCCCAAGTCCTCAGCTGGTTAAGTGAGTGTTCCCTGTACCCCCAGGGATGCCAGTACCTTCCACTCCCTCCCTACCTATCTGGGAGCCCCTCTGGGACTCAGCCCGAGGGGTTCAGGGGAGAGTCTGCCTGCACCCACTTTACCCCAGAGCTCTGGCTCTTTTCTACCAGGACAGAGGCTGCAGGGGAGGGGTGTGGGCCAGAACACTCTGTGTGCTGAGATGTTGAGGGGTCTCCTGGGGCCCTGAAGACTCCCTCCTCCACCCCGTGGGCCAGTGTGACACCAAGAGAGCAGAGGCCGAGGTATATCCTGGGAGGGAGTGGTGTGAGCAGGCCCTGGGCTGTGGTGGGGCCTCGGGCAAGAGTGCAGATGCTATGGAGACTGGGACCCCGCCC